AAGAAACTGTAATTGCTGAAATCAAAGGGAAGAAACCTACTATTATTTATGTCAAAACTCAATAAAAATAAATGTTGGTGTATAGACAAATAAAAAATAGTGTGAAAATAAAATTATTTATTTATTTGATAGACTTTTATTATACGCGACTGTGTAATATTCGCGGGATCTGCAAAAAAAATTTTTGTATCACAGAACATCTGACCGGACCATTTCGAAAATAGCAATAATAAAAAATAAAAAATAAATAAATCTGGAATTTTTTGTTTATTTATCTCTATTACTATGCATAAATAAAAATATAAAAAAATATTTTCACTAGCACTGAGATAAATAAATAAAAAAAAATGAGGTGAGAAAAAAAAAAACTCAAGATAAAAAAAATGAGTCTGGGAGATAGGAAAAAAAGATCTTTAGCTACAAAAAAAAAATAAGGTATTTTTATTTAAAAAAAATAAATTAATCCATTTAAATAAAGAAATTCAAAATAATGAATATTCTAATAAATTATTCAAATGTAAAACAAATTTACCAAAAAAAATACAATTTCAAATTGGTGCAAAATAATGTTTCTAAACAATTCTGAATTCCAATATGGAATATGTAATGGAACTATTGGTGTTATCACAGATTTGAACATGGAAGCACAAACAGTTAGATGTGCTTTTTGTATTGAAAGTAAAATTATTGATATAGAAATCAAGAAACATACTTCATCATTTCTACTTTATGGAGCACCTGCAAGTCGAACCCAATATCCAATAATCAATGCCCATGCACTTACTGTTCACAAAGTTCAAGGATTAACTTTACCTAATATATCACTGAACTTAGATTCACAAATGTTTGAAAAAGGACAGGCATATGTTGCACTAAGTAGATGTAATGATTGGAATAATATTAAAATCAGATCCCTTGAAAAGGATGCATTTACTGTAGATGAATCCATGATAAAAGAATATGAAAGATTAGAAACAAAAGCATCTGAACCACTACCTATTTCTAGACCACTACAAAATATTTCTTAATTACCAATATTTAAACACTACATTAAATTTACTCAGTTATAATTTTTATTTTAATTTACTTTAATTGTATTTGAACATTAATAAATTATACAACCAATTATATGTATAAATCTTAACCACATGGCGGCGACAAAGTCGCCATATCCAAAAATTTCTAGTTGTATAATAAAAATAAATCATAAATGATATTTTGACAATAAATTGAACTTAAAACATAATCTAATATTAATATATACTATTTAATAATGAAATTCTTAGCTATTTAATCAGTATTTTCATTATTATACAATAAAATTATATAAAAATATATATAAGTATTTTATTTAAATTATTACTTCACTATTTAACATATCATCCGTCGTGAAATTAGAATCGTATGCTTTAAACATTTTAAATTTAGTAGCAGTCTAATGTTATATAGAGTATATGTAAAAAAGAATAAGCAATGGATCTTAAGTACATTAAAATGAGATAAAATTTACAAACCTTAAGTCGCATTCCTTGGCGTAAGGGTAAACATAGGATGTTTAGATGAGCGAGTAGGAAAACAAATAACAGAAGAATAATCACATTCAAAAAAATCATCTGTAGTTGCTCGAGGTTGTTGATATAAAAATCGTAATTGGTTTTCTATTTCAACAAGAATTTCTTCCACATTGGGCCGATTATCTGGAACTGCATCCCAACATTTTTTTAATAAATCAGAATACCAAGCTGGCATCCCCTTGTCAATTATTGGTCGTGTCCCATTTATTACATTATTGTATGAGAATTCTTCGAGATTAGAAAACTCTTTAAAAGGAACTTCTTCATAATAAATTTCCCACATTAACATTCCAAAAGCATAAATATCTGATTTTTTTGTTTTTGGTTTGCCACAATAAACTTCCGGAGCTATGAATGCATCAACTCCATAAACATCGGCGGGAACCTTATCAACCGGACCATAAAATCTAAGATCACTAATTAGCCATTCTTTACTTCTTCCACTAAGTAAGACGTTACCTGGATGTAAATCCTTATGTATGTTATTATTTTTATGAAGATTCTTAAGAGAAAATGCAATATCATAAAGGATATTAATCTTTTGTAACCAAGGAATGGTTTTTTTTTTAATTTGAGCTGTCATTAAAAAACTGGTTAAATCACATTCCATAGGGCGTAAAATTAGCATAAAATCTTGACTTTTAGGATCTATTGTTATTCCATAACAAAATACGACATTGGGTAACTCATTCATTAGATTGAGATGTGTTTTGGCCTGATTTAAAGAAAGGAAATTTCAAAAATTAGTTATTTATAAATGTCAATAAAAATTAAATTTTAAATAAATCATAATTTAAATATAGACCTCAGAAAGCCATTGTTGGCCTGGTTCCCTTGAGTTGTTTAAACTCTTTAGAACTACATTCCGCTTTCCGTATCTTATATATTGTTGATTTTTGGAATCCCATTTATCATAACATCCTTCATTCCATTCAGCTATATAAACTTTGGAAAATGATCCTTCAGTTAAATATTTTATATTGCTAAATTTTTCAAAAGGAACCCATTCAACGGCGAGATCTTGTCTGATTACATTTTTTTGGCAAGTTTGGAGCAATTTATCAATTTCTTTATTGCCAGATGTCCAATTCTTGAAATTGGTTTCCAAATATTTGCGAATGCAATATTCACAGTATTGTTTAGCGGAAGTCATATTGCCACAATGTTCACATTTTCTTTTTTCATTTACATTTTCTAAAACATTTTTGTTATCAAGCTCTTTATCGATTAAGTTATAAAGGTAATTTTTTTCTGAATCATCAAGGTTGGATCCTTTGACCTGTTTTTTAAAAAATTCACTCTGCACTTCATTTGATTGTAGGTGAAGGATTGGATCCATAAGAAATTTTGCTCTCCGATATATTTTAAATGCAGGACCATGTGATGGTCCCATACCATCTCTTGTATTCATACCATCTGCCATGATAAGTTTGCTATAGAAAAAAAAAATCTTAATTGTTTAAAAAATTTAATTTCGATTCTTAAATTTTGTAACAAATTTATGGATCCTTTTACGATAAATCAATTCATAACAAAAATTAGTGGTGTGATAAATGTAAGCCGAAAGATTTTTTCGGGCACGAATACCATTTTCGAAAATACGATGCTATACAATATTCTCATTTATTTGTTGTTGCTTTACAAGATAATTTTGTAACAAAATTTACAGACCCTTTTTAACCTAGGAACGATAAAATCAGTTCATTACAGAATAATAAACAAAAATTAGTGGTATGATAAATGAGTCAGGAGATTTTCGAGGCATTTTCGGAAATACATTATGCATTTATTTTCTGTTTCATAGAAAGCATTTAAACTTAAATACCCAATCAATGAATCAGGAGATTTTTTAAGGCGTGAATACCATTTTCGGAAATACGTTATACAATTATTTGAATATATCATTGGTAGGACAAGCTCTTTAAATTTTGCAACGGATCAATCTTTGAAATGATAAATGGCAAAATAATAATCAAATTTGAACATAAGGTGATTTTTCGAGGCGTAAATAACATTTCGGAAATACATTATGCACTTATTAGTTTCGTTTCATAGAAAGTTTATACTATATATAAATTTAAACTTCAATACCTAATCTATCATCTATCATTGCAAATGTAGGACAAGATCTTTAAATTTTGCAACGGATCCTTTTTAATCTTTGGAATGCAGTTCTTGGAAGAATAATAAAATCAATTAAGTCCACAAAATTTAGTCGTATGATAATGAACGTCGAATGATTATTTTGAGGCGTGAATACCGTTTTCGGAAAATACGATGTCATACTATTTTTCTCACTTATTTCATAAGAACAAAGTTTATATAAAGATAAATTTAAACTTTAACCTAATCTATCATGAAACATATAAAACCAGATCGAATATACATTGCAGAAAAATTTCTATATTCTCACTTATTTGTAATCATAAGAACAAAGCTTATATAAAGATAAATTTAAACTTTAATACCTAATCTATCATGAACAATATACAACTAGATCCAATAAATCCAGATCCAACAAAACCAGATCCAATATACATAGCGGAAAACATTATTACTACCACAAAATCTATTTCTTCTCTTTTTCCAACTCTTGCACCAGTTGGTGTTATTTTAGAAATCGTTAATGAAATATTAAAAATTTACAAACAAGCAGAATGTAATAAAGAAATCGCCAATGCAATGGCTCTGCGTGTATTATCTGTTGAGCCAGCCATAAAATTCTTGGAATTACAAAGACCTGAATATAAAAAAAAATTTCGAAATTTACAATATCAAGAAACATTAATTAGGCTTAAGAATACATTAGAAAATATCAAAGTATTTGTTTTTAAAGTAACGCATTTAAGTTGGGTTACTAAAATGTTTTCTGATCATAAAAGTATAGAAGAGATGTTTAAAACTTTGGCGGGTGAGTATGATAATTGCATGCAAATTTTGAAATTTAAGATGTTAATCGGTTTTGAAGAACAACGAAGGATCGATGATGAAAGTTTAACTGATGGTCTTGCTAAAACAAACGAGGTATATATATATATATATACATATGGGTAATTTAGTAAATTATTATAGTACAATTGCGTAAATTAATACGTAGAAATCATAATATTGTGTCAGAAAAACTAACCAATCCCTGAACCTAATCCTAACCCAAGTTTATAATAATGTTTTTGATATACCGTATTTTGTGGGCCAAGATACCCTTCGTATGCGTAGTACCCTTTCAAAAATTTTATATGTTTTTTTTAAATATCCTGGTATTTTACATATAATATCATTTTAAAGCACCCCAGATATAATATTTTCATTATACTATGCTTGGATTATACTCTGGGTATTTTATAAATAACGCACCTCTTCATTCACCTTTTTCTGTACCCAGAATATATGGTAAAATTCCTAAATTTGTAAAATACCCTTGAGTGGTGCTATGGCCCGAAATCAAAATTAAAGTAATTCCCATTGTACTACCACAACATAATTAAATTCCCAATTGTACTATACTAATTTTTGAAATTCATAACTGCTTTACAAACAATACTAAATTTATTCATTTTATGCAGCTTATAGAAAAACTTCCTGATGAGATTGTACGGTTAATAAGAGTTCACTCTCAGGAAGTAAACTATATCAATGAAAATATTGATTGCTTCAAAGTTAAAAGAATTGATTCAAACTTCTTACAAGACTCACGAAATGGTTCTAGAACGGATATTCGTCAAAGTAAATCAAAACATGTCACTAAAAGAGTCTATAAGGGAAGTATCGACGTAGCATGTGTAAAATATAAAGTTTTTACTGAAGAAGAAAAAGATTTGCTAGATGAATCATTGATAATACAAAGAGAATTATTTGAATGTCAAAATATTCTAAAATTTTATGGGCTTTCTAAAATTGATGGCGATGACATTGTGGTTTTTGAATGGGCAGAGTTGGGTAATTTAAGAGAGATATACAGTAAAGAAAATAATATTTCTTTAGCTTACAAAGTTAAAATTGCGTTTGGTATTTGTGAAGGGATTATATTCTTGAACGCCTCTGGTGTTTATCATCATGATATTAATTGTAAAAATATAATGGTAAGTTGATTCTTGAATGAAAATTTATGTTAGTTAAAATATTATAATATAATAAATGTGTGTATATCATTTGTTATTAGATGACAATTAACAACGAGCCTAAACTTGCGAATTTTGTATATTCGAGAAAGAGAAAGGATGGCACAATCTTTATTAAATGTCCTTCATTTAACTGGATGGCCCCTGAAAAAATGTGTAATGAACCATACACTCAAAAATGCGAAATTTTCAGGTATGTAAACCGTTATTAAATTTGGCAGACATGTATATTTATTTATATTAATAACAATTCCCTCTTAGTTTTGGAATGCTTATGTGGGAACTAGCTTATCAAAAGATACCTTATGAAGGAATTGAAAATTACATTATAAAAGAAAATGTCAAGAAGGGAGGTAGAGAAATATGTGATTTTTTTGACCTCAAACCGGAAAACGAATCCATACAGAAAAAATATATAGAACTAATTCAACGTGGTAAGTTTTTAAACATTTAATAGAATTTTAAAATAACAAATTATAATTTTAAATTTTGGTTTAATTATATTTAAAGCATGGAAACACCTTCCGGAAGAAAGAATAGAAATAAGTGAATTATATACAGAATTGTCAAATTTAGCTTCTAATTCGCCAACAACTTTTTTCTTTGATGGGCCAAGAAATATTTTACCATCAAAGACTAATAGTTTATCACCAAATTTGTATCCGTCATTAATAACTCTTAATGAAGGGATCAATCTTCATAGAACTAAAAAACCTGAAAATAGAGAGAGAGCCTGGAATTGTTTTGTAGCGCATTCAGAATTAGGGAATCCTGTTGCTATTTATTGGAAAGCAAAATATTTACTAGAAGGTTATCATCCAAATGGATCTGAAAGACAAATGGAGGAAGACACCACAATTGAAGGTTTGAAGTTGCTTAAATATGCTGCTGATGAAGGCGTAGTAGATGCACAGATGCAATACATTGATATTTTAGAAGTGGATAAAAACAAAAATAAAGTTGCATTGCGGGATTACTTGACTCGAGCGTCTATTAATGGAGATAATGATGCAACATATAAATTAGGGGTAATATACTATAACGGAGAATTAGGGTTAGAAATTAATAGATCTAAAGGTTTGAGTTATTTGAAGGTTGCAGCAGAAAAGGGCCATGAAGGCGCTAGAGAAATCATAAGAGAAATTGGAAGTATTAATAATTCACATGTTTTAACTCGCTGTGAAAATTGTAACAGTGAACTGCAGTTTAAAATTATTTAATTGGTTTATATTTTTATTTTATCATATTTTTTACATTTGTATTTTCATTTTTAATATGTTTTAATTAGAATTATGTTAGCATTTATGAATTTTATTAAATCGTACAGCAAAAAAGACCAAAGTTGAAATTACACTTTTTTTCTTGCATGTTAGTAATTGTTTTTTTTTATAATGCATATACGTATGTATATATATATATATCGTATCTCCATATATCAAAATTAGGAATTTTAGTCATTAGTGACAGCACCGTAATCCCTTTGTGCAAAGGGTTGCAACTTCTCACATCAATTCACCTAAATTATAAATATCGGCTTTATATTATATTAAAATTTTCGAAAATAGATATGCTTATTTATTTATAAATAAAATAAAAATATCATATATACTTAATGTACGTTAAATTGCAATAACTTTTTCTAGCTATCTTTTTATTATATTTTGTATTCATTTATAATAGATCAGCTATAACTTTTCTAGTTGCGGCTCTCTGAGCAAGAATTTGAAGTTCATTCTTCTTTCCTCTAAATCAAGATTTATATTTCCTTGCCTGCATTTTCATTTTCATAAGTTAATAAAGTATATATATAATATACCCTTGTTTATTAATTAAAGTTTCTTCTTTAGAATTAAACTAAACAAAAATAACAAAAATAGAATAAAACAACTATATTGAATATTAGAAGGAATAAATAAAATAAGTTGTCAAAGGTTGAGCAGTGGAACAATTTGGTTAGGCAGTTATTTATTTATTTGTTTAAACAGACGAAGTACCTTAACTTATTTAATAAAGTTTTATAAAATAATATGAGTATATGTAAAATATTGCACTGAATACTTTCACTTAGAGGTAGTAAAGTTCTTTATCTTTATAGATCTCTGTTGATCCAATCACAATCAAGGATCTGAATAATCATAATTAGATTCCAAAAATGCTGTTTTTTATTTATTTATAGTATTCATTACATCCTATAAAACTCTCTTTTATTATTGCATTTAATTTATAAAATTATAAAATAAATTTCATAGTATAAAATAAATTTGGCAATACCTTTTCATGTAATGATTTGGTAGTAATTTGATTTTTTATTTGGACACCTTTCGTTTTTACATGCAGAAACCATATTTGTCACCTAGAATATGTCACATAAAATCACATGTCAATTATGAACCAATAAAATTCGAAGAGATTATATCAAAACGATACTTTTGCACCGTGATTGTTTAGCCAATAAAAATTGCTAATTCATTTTGGCATTTTTTGATAACACGTTTTTAATTAATAATTATTATTACGAACAATGGAAACAATGGAATTATTGGAAATAAACCACGGAACACCAGTATTCTTACGAGAAATCAATCAGAATGCACCACAATGGATTGGGAAAGAAATTCGTGTCATTGGATCGTAAGTGTTTTCACAAAAAAAATAAAAATAAAATTAATAAACGCGTTTTTTTTTTTTTGGCATCGCGAATATTCCCCCGCTGACATATTTTTTTTCCAGATTAATTTATCACGATATCGATGCAGAAATTGGCGTTTTACAACAATATTTAGATGGTAGAGAAAGTTTCCTTATGGTGGACATGAATTTGGTTGAAACCAATTGCAATAACCGGTCGATGATAGAGTTTATTGGGACTTTGACATACGTAAGATTTTGATATGACTTTAATTGTGATGTTAACTTAACGCAAGTGATCTCATTTATATATGTTGTTTCAGGATTTATTAGAGTCGGGTTCCATTATCAAAAGTACCAAGTGTAGCCGAATTCCGAAAAACATCCGAGGACGTCTAACTGACACAATTATAAATGTTCCCGATCTTCCCATACTTAAGGCACGTATTGTTCGAAACGTCCAAGGTATAAACATGTCATTATATCAACAAATTATAAAACTAAGGAGACAGTTTGATAGCAGATTTAACGAAATGATGGAAAAAATGGAAAAAAATAATGAAATGAAAAGTGAAAAAATGGAAAGTAAAATGAAAAGGAAAAAAGTCAAGCGATTCGAATAATCATATTATTCATTTTATTAAGATTAATTTTTTGTAGTTGAAAAGAAATTTACATAATTATTGAACTATTCAACAGTTTAAAATTAGACAAAAAAATATATATATATAATATTCATTATTTGGGATATTGTGTAAAAGTTATATCGAATATTTTGTGTTTTTTACTTTTTTTCTGAATAGATTAAATTCTTGTCGAATATGATGAATTTTACAAATCTCGCGTCTTTTGTTTTATTATGACACAATATATCCTATGTATCCATATTAAAACGAACGATTTTCTTTTAAATGTGATAAAATTGTAGCTTTGACCTATAGATTTTATATCATTTTCTCATTTAATTACTTGAAAAACCTCAAATTCTTCAATCTCGAACGTTTTATGATCTAAAAGTTCTTTAGAATAATAACGTTTAGTAGTAATTCTTTTGAAAACTTGAAGATCACCACGTCCAAATCCAATATTTTCATCAGCATTATCTAAGATGGCAAATGAATCTTCTCTAATACGACTTAATACTGTTTTATTAAGATCAAAATTTTCATCAAAACAAAATGTAAAGCTATCTTTTGAACTTAAATAACCTCTTGATCCACTCCAACTGAAGGGATTATAACCACCAATAATTTTTCCTGATCCTTTAACTTTCACGACAAGTATGGTAGGTCCTTTTTCAAAACATCTTTTTTGAAATGTTGCGAAATCGAATCCATCTCGACTACCACGTAAAAGAGTAGTAAAATTATGACAATTTATAGGATATTGTAAATTAATAGTTTCATTATTTCCATTTATCCAACTGGCCAGAAATGCTTTATGTTTTATTGAAATAATTACAGAATTTTGATCATTATTTCGTGGTGGTAAAACTTGACTAGTTGGTTTACAATCTGGTATAATGAAATACATCTCAAGATCATCCTTTAATTCTTTAGGTAATATTTGATTTAAAGGTCTAACTTTAAAATAATAATCTCGATGCTCCATCTGGAAAAATCTAATGTGTGGTATAAATTTATGTAAAGTATTTTCTAATGTTTCGAAATCTTCTGAAGTCCAAGTCTTTAAATCCGAACCAAGGGATAAATTTGAAATTCCCCATCTTGTTAATGCTTCCCAAATATCAACTTCAGCCATTTGAAGTCCTTCATGTTTAATAAGTGAAAATAACATTTCTTCTTCTAAACCACTAAAATCATATAATTTGAAGAATTTTTCAGGTACCGAAGACATAAAGTCTTCACAAAATTTTCGAAGTTTTTTAAGCATTTGATTATGCATAATTGATTTGAGAAGTTTATCACAATTTTTTTCTAACCATTCGCTATCCATGAAAATTATGTGATCTTGAATGGTTTCAACAAGTTCTAATAAAGTTAATTCATCTGCAGCATGAAGTAACTCTACCAGGTTTTCCTCTACAATACTGGCATCGAAGTCAACAGTCCCTGTATAAATATATCTTTTTTTTTTTTTTAAAAAAAAAATAATTTTCAATCAAATTAAAAATTACATATATATTTTCAAACACACCACGTGCGCGCAAAGAAGAGGAAAAGGAAATAAATAAAATAAAGGAGAATAAAATAAAATAAAATAAAATAAAATAAAATAAAAATTGAATAAATACTTCAAAATTGTTCTAAATACTTTTGGCGAAATATTTGGTTTATTGAATATATAAACATTATCTTTAGAAGTACAACTCCAGTTCGCGCTTAAGGCAGCTCGAAAGTACGAAGATCTAGCTCTCAAAATTACAGAATGAGCTTTAAAAACCTCTACGTTAGGTTCATAACCGATATGAAGATTGACGTTATAGTCATCAGCTTCAAGGTATAGTTCACTGATATCATTTATGAGAGTTTGAGATAAATTGGGCAAATATTCAACTTCGGATTCGGCGTCGCTCATTTTTTTATATATTAGAAAATTGACTTTCTCAAAGAACCCAAATTTTTTTATCCAATAAAAATTATTATATCATTTATCATGATGAGATCATTCGCGATTATTTATACTTAATTTGATATACAATACATAACATACGAACTTATTACATATTGTGCTATATAGTATTGTATAGTATTGTACAGTCGACCCCTTATAGGCAGACCCTCAGGGACTAACAAATGATTGTGACTAAAAGAGGGAAGTTCTTAATAACGTGGGAATTTTAATATGATCCCTTATATATATAGGGACCAAAGTAATGTAAGAGAGGAGTTCTTATACTCGACTGTATTGTTAAATTTTACCATTTATACAACTATTATAAGCCTAATTTATACAATGCAAATATTATAAGCCTAATTTATACAAATATTATAAATATTTGCTGAACCATTAAAAACTAATATTAAATTAATATTTCATCGCCTTGAAAGATTCAGGAGGTTTAAAGCCTAATTTATCATCTTCATCGACATTCGTCATTTCTTCTTCTTCACGCGTTTTCCATATCCAAGAATATTCTTTTGAATCATTAATTGCAGTAGTAGTTGATGGTACCTTCATAAAATCATCAATATTATTATAATTTAATGAACCAATATTATTAAAAGATGGTACAAATTGATCATGAATTTTATTATTTTCTTGAAGATTGTATTCTGATGATGATTCCAGTTCATATTGTAATTCTTTAATTATTTCATCAATTTCTTTTTCAATTTTATCAATTCTATCGTAGTGACTATTATTATTATTATTATTATTATTATTATTATTATTATTATTATTATTTAAAATGTTATCACCACTACCATTACTACCGTTACTATCACAATTAATATTATAATAATAATGATTTCTTTGATTTCTTTGATCCAAAGTCATATTAATATCATTACACTCATTCCAAGAAGTATTTAGGCGTTTTCTCTTCATCAAGTCTTTCTCAATTTCTTTATGAAAAATTTCATTATCTATATCAACATCTATTAAATCATCCTTCTCCTCGAATTGATCGATATCCTTAAGTTCATCTATTTCCTCCTCCTCGAGTGAATCAATAATATCTTCTATTTCCTCGAGTTGTTTTGGTTGTTGTGGCTCAAATAATAATAATTCATTTAATTCTTTAAAATATTTAACTTGATCTACTTTATCGTATTCTCCTCCTCCTTCAACGCGTCCGCTTGTTGGTACACAAACAAAGATTCTAGTAAATCCTAGATTTTTATTATTATCATTCCATTTAATCTTTTTGGATTGTAATCCCCAATTTATATCATTTTTTATATTATTGTTATTATTATTTTTAAATTTTTGTTCAATTGTTTTTGTTGTTGTAGATTTTGAATTACGAGAATCGTATTTTAAAAATGCTTCATAACCTGCTTTACCATTAAAACAAAGAAATTTTGGTCGATACTTTGTTACTTTTTTGATGAGATTTGGAATTGCATTTATTATTTCCTCCATTGATATTTTTTTCTATAAAAAAAAAAAATTAATTTAATTAATAAATTATTTTTTCAATTCAAAAAGTAAAGAACGAAGGAAATATAACAAAAAAAAAAAATTTCAAACCTTTGAACGATGTTTTGGTCGATGAACCAAAGTAACGATTCCTAATTTGAAATCGCGCGTCAGACGTTTATCGTCTAAATAATTAACCTTTACTCCATTGGTTAATCCTAACAAGTTAATTTAATAAATTTATTTTTATTTTACGTGTCTTTTATAATATAAAAACGTTAACGAACGATTATAATTTATATTTTTACCACTTTCAGTCAAACAATCGTAAAAGTAATTTAAAGGTGATGAGAAATGATGTCCGGTAGATAAACTTTTCTTTCCAGAGAACAGACTAACGAACAAAACTATTATAATAAAATTAATGATATTTATAGCATTAATTATTTATAACATTTATTTTAAATTCTGTCATAAAAAATCTATTTAAAAAAATAAGTTAAATTTTTTACCGTTCAAATCATAATTGATAACATCTGTTACCGAAAATTCATTATTATTATCCTTCTTCTTTGTGACAACACTTCTAACAAATACATCACTATCTGAACTATTTGAATTATTTGAATCCAGTGTCGTATTTTTATTTTTATTATTGTTATTTGTAAAAGTTTTTGGTAAAGATCTTTTTTTGCATTTATTATTATCATTAATATTCTTATTAGCATTAATATTCTTATTAGTATTACTATTCTTATTAGTATTAATATTCTTATTTGTAGTCATCGTAGTAGTTGAACGATGATGTATGGATTGTTGTCGTCTCTTTCGTTTATAAGTTTTTAAAATTCTTAAAGTTTTTGAATTTTTTAAATTTCTCACTTGTTTATTAACCATGGCAAGTTTTTTAGATTGATGAAATTGAGAAAAATTATATAATTATATAATTATATATGTGTACATATATGAAATATATGTATACATATATATTATTTTTATTTATTCATGAGTTTAGATAAGCATAAAAAGTATAATTTTAACTCAAATAACATAAAATGTGTATTTAAGATTAGATTACTAATACTAATAATGAGTCAAAAATAATTAAACTTTTAAAGATAATAAATAAACTAAAAACTGAAACAAAAGTAAATATTATATACATATGTATATATATTTACCACATAAACCTTTGAATTTTATCTTTTTGATTTTCCCAACTAAATCCTTTCCATATAAATAAATATAAAGTAAAATAATTTAAAAATGAATATAATAAACATTCTAATAATAATCTAGGTAAAGTAGGTTGTCTAATATTTAATCTATATAATAAATATGGGATTATGAAATATCTAAATTCAAATAATGGGGAAGGAATTAAAACTAAACAAGTGGTCATAAAATATATCAATATCCACATAAATGATTGCCTCTTTGCTAAAAAATTTTTTTACCATTTTTTTTTTTAATAATATTAAAATAGGTAGTTAGTAATAATAATGATAATAATATTTGTAAAGTTTGAATAACAAATAAATAAATAATAAATTTATTTTTTTTAATTATTCTTTAATATAAACAATTACCTAAGTTATCCCATAAAATCCATCCCACAAAAAGATATCCAATTATTAAATAATATTTTATCATTATTTGCTGGCGATATATATTTTTCCAAATATAAAATGTATAATGTCGATTGTCACTTAATAAAAATGGATGTTCATAACTATATTGTAAAAATAATTTTGTAAATATTGGAAAATGCAATGCTTTAATGGTTAAAGAAAAAAAAAAGCAATTGCCATTATTTGATATAATAGAACTTACGTGAAGAAGTGAACCAGTAAACCCATTATGAACATTAAGAAAATTAATTTTATTTTAGTTCTTTTCCGAAATATATAAAAATAAATAAATGTGAAAAAAAAAAAATATGTAAATAGAAATGTATAAGTTAGTTAGTAAGGACAAAGAAATAAATAATGTAAACGAAGAGAATCTAATAAGCGAATTAAAATTAAACTTAAAATAATTATCTTGATTCATACTTTAAATTTTTTTTGGATATCATAAAATTCATTAATTTCTTGAAATATTTATATCTTATTATAATTGGTGCCGAGAATATTGTGGTAAATGATAAAAAATAAAATACTTGAGGAAAATGTAAAACTGCTATATGATTTGATTTATCTCCTATGTATATATAAATGATGATTATGATTAATTATAAATAAAAAAAAAATTTTTTGATATTATTATAAGATTATTTCTAAATTTATGTTAAATTTACCTAAGACAATTCCACCATTCCATTTTAAAAATATCAAAAAACATATTATAACTATTAAAAATGAAAAAAATGTTGACACCAATTGAGTTGAATTTTTTATCATCATTAATATAAAAGAATTTATTTCTTGAAATGCAATTCCTATAAATTACAAAATGTAAAATTAAAGATAGTAAAAATTAAATATTAGTAAAGTAAATTGAAAAATAAATTTGAAATATAATAAAAATAAATAAATTTACTTAATGTAATATTATTTCCTTTAGTGAGTCTTAAAGTACGGCGCATACTGATATTTCTATCATCTGATAGAACTTTTAGAATTGATATTCCTAATATAAAACAAACCCATATTATATTTGTTTGTCTAAAGAGAATACTTAAACCACCAATCTATAATAATAATATTTATTGTTGCAAAATATTATATATTATTTATATTATTATAAATTATATGATCAAGAATAATTTTTCAGAGAAATAAAAGTAATGAAAGTAAAAAAATCAAAAATCAAAATTATAAAAATACCATGGCACTTTTCCAATAATTTTGTTCCAAAGCTGCTAAATATGCAAATAAAACACAAAATGTTGATCCCGGATCCGTATAATATAAAAAATTTAAAAACCAATTCAAAGGAAATATTGTTAAGATCAAAGCATTCATAGCTCTGGCATTGGAATTTTGGTACGGATGTAAGTGAGTTAAAATACTCCAAAGTGTCATATATATTCCAACATTGAAAAAAATATTGGTGGCTCGAAGGAATTCAACTGAACAGAAATCTATCGAGTTTAGAAGATGATTTAATGGACTTAATATTAGGTTACTTATTATATATCTAAATATGTATGAAATAAGTATAAAATTGATATAATATAAATATAAATATAAAAAAATAAATAAATAAATAAATAATATAATAAAAATAAATGGATATAAAATAAATAATAAAATAAAAATAAAATAAATATTCACTTACAACCCCGGAGGTGTCGTTATATTTGGATCCCATTCAGAATATTTTCCTTTACAATAATTTTGAGCTTGTGGGATGTGAAATATTTCATCCTAAATAAATAAAATAAATTTATATATACATATATATTATTTTTATTTTTCTCTAATTTAATAACTTGCTCACCATATATGGTTCCGGAACATTTTTATTCACAATAAAATTTGCTATCAGTGTAATTGATGCAGTATGGGCAATTAATAAAATAAATTTTGTAGCCATATTTTTTTGGAGGGAAAAAAATAATAATTGTCTCGGGAAAATCTCTCCGAGGATCATAATTTTATAGAATTGATTTTCACAAAGTTCCTTTTTTGGCTTGGATCACTAAAGTTTGTTTACAGTCAGAATATTGTGAAATAAGTCATTAACAGATTTTTCTCTATATTTGCTATGTTATTTATTTAATTTTTATGTACTATTTATAAATAAAAATATATAAAAAATAAAATAATAAAAAAATAAATTTCCAACTTTAATAATAATGATAGATACAATATTTTTTTAAAAAAAGAGACTAATTCAAAGATTTGATTTTGAAATTTGAAATAATGATAAAATTGCTTAGAGATTATTATAGAAACATTTCCACTACTCACCGATCCGATCAAAATGATTCATTTCAACTTCCATTTCCTATTTTCCTCTCGAATAGAATAATGGTGTTATTGTTTGCTATTATTACTACTAGTATTAATATTTTTTTTTATTACTATATTTTACCTTTTTTGTGCCGCCACGATTTCACTTCCACGACGTACTGAAATAAATAGTAGTATAATAATATTAAAATAATAAGAATAATACTTACGACCCTTCGCCTTAAATTTATTGTACTGCATGTATTTCCTCCCGCTAAGTAAATTAATATTAGAAGAAAAATAGTAATACTCCCAGGATCGCCCATTTCTCCCGCATCTTTATCATTTTCATCCCTAAAAAATAAGGATTAGTATTACTAATAGGAATTCCTATATAAATTAACATTACTTGTAATCTTAAAGAAGATACTACAGTTTGAACTTTCAGTTCCCTTTGGTTTCAAAAACATGAAGAGCCTTGTTTTTCTGCAGACCTCATAGAGAACACAGTCCCTGAAAGAAAGCGAATATGAATTTGTTGCAAGGACAAGTGAGGAATTTAGATCTACATTCAATAAGCCTTTTGCCTAAGAAAATACTTTCAAGGCCTAACCCATCACAAGAACAGTAACTTAGGAATGAAGCCCTTATGGATTTTGTCTTCACAGTTCTGGTGTGGTGGAAACGTTGTTACTCTGAAGTAAATATTATTGCTTACTGCTATCGTTACGCAATAAAGATTATTATTTTCTCTATACGCAAAAAGCCAATCGAAATCATTCAAAAAAAAAAATATGTCATGACGACCGCATTTCTCATCATCATCAAGATTCATTTTATCTATTGATGAATGGTACCCACTTGAATTAGCATATGAATTCTTTTCAATAATGACTTCTCTTCCCATAATTCAAAGATCTGAAGTTACAGCCTCAAGGTGAAAAGCAAAAACAAATTATAGATCAATTAGTGGTGATACAGTTTCTTCTACCAAGAACTTTTGAGGAAATATTTGTTGATATTAACTGTTTTCAAGTTTTTTCAACTGAAAATGGTTTTTAATACAGAGATCATATCATATCCATTTATGTTTAACAACTTCCAAAATCCAATGAGGCTATTATCAATTTGATTAAATAATGTTACTTTTCTTAAAGTATTTCCAAAACCCCTCCGCCAACCACTAGTCCAATGAACAAAATCAGAATTCTCACCTGGAAAATCAATATTACATAATATTATGCCTTCTGATGCAAATTGGACATTCTATCATAAAAAAGACAAATATCAGAATTCCTATTCATGAATTGAAATGAATTGAAAATCAACTGCCTATACTTAATAAAACTAAACAAAACTAGAGATGTTACCTAAAATATTTTCAGTATAATAAAATAATTTGGGATTTGGAATTTTGAAAAATAATTTGGATAATATGTATATGTCTATTTTTTTTTTAATTTGACTAGTAAACAAACACATGTTAAATGATTAAAAATGGCCTGCCTACACTATGTATCTATTTTCTGCCTATAATACATTGTTGACCATGATCTGACCTTCAAGGAATACAATTAACTATTAGCTAAAGGTATGGTAGCTAAACTAGAATATAATAAACTAATAACTAATTTATACTAAAAAGTATGATGTTTGAAGGATTTAGATATTGTGAATTTGTTTGAAAGAGGCAAGGCCATGAGATTTTTATAAGGTTTTAACTAAACTATTTACAAAGAATATAACTAAACTAAGCTAAACTGATAATTCTTAACACTAAGTAGAGAATTATAACACAAAAACACTATACCAAGATCACAAAGCAAGGAATAATTAACAAGTGTTTCAGTATTCCACCAAGGAATAATACAGAATTTTTACTAAGAAATTACAACAGTATAAATAATAATTCACACGGATATTTATTATTTATAAAGTAATTCACAAAGTATTTTATTAACAAGAATTGAATTGGAACTGATTGAAACTTGAACTGAAAACTGAACTGAGGACTGAGTAAAGAGAAATTTAGTCCTTTATATATATAATTGAAGTTATAATAGATTATGCTGTAGACTACACTAATGCATACACTATTAATTACGCTGATGTATACACTATTAACTACACTTTCTACTATGCTATCTATTACACTATTGATTACACTCAGATCTACAGTCATAATACCTAATAGTTGTACCAATTTCTAAATGATTTACACTAATAGTTTCCTATATAATATATACTAATAAAAATATGAAATCAAATGAATAAAATATAGTTATAAATAAGCTAATACATGATAATAAAATAATAAATAAATAAGATAAAAATATAGTAATAATAAAGTTTGACAACTAGGGTCAACAACATATCTAATTTCCTACACTACATATTTGTGAATTTATCTCAAATTACTCTGCTCATTTTTTTACATAACCAGTGAAAAGAATATATAGACCCTGTAATCCACAAAAGAAAAATTAGTTGAGAGATAAATTCAAACTTAATAGGTGTATAGTAAAATTGCAACACAAGAGTGAAAACTCAATTGACTTATCCAATTTCCATTTAACAAGAAGGTACCAGTTGTGATTCATTTTGTTGGATATTGACAAGATATAAACAACACTATTAAAGAATATTCTTAACAAGGCATGAGCAAAATTAAATTTTTTTTTGCTTAAACGGTGTGGCGCAATTAAATGTGGCCATCATTGGTGCCTACCTAGCAAGGATATTCAATTATATGACATGAGGGAGGAATACAAATGCAATTACAATTATTGCTCTGTTTTGGAGCATCAATCATTTTAACTGCTGACCATCAACTCCAATCATACAAGGTATAACTTTGCAACCAACCTTTTCACAGTCATGATAAAAGAATTGGTTTCCCATGATTTCATTCATGAAGAATGAATATGAATATAAGTGATTTTGAACTCTTTTTCCTGATTTGTTTTATTTTCATATTCACTTGTTACAGCATGTCACATATAGTTTACTTTAGAGTCTGCTTTTGTTAGAACATCAATTTTTAAGGGATATATTCTTGTAACACATCACACTATTATTTCTTTTATACAAACAAGGCAAGGTATGATATTTGAAACAGATAATCAATTCACAAAATGATAAAATCTTTTTTTCATCATCATCATAAATTTTATAAATATATAAATTTTCAATAGGATTAATTAAAAAAAAAATCTTGACACTAAGCAAAGGAGGTCATATCAATTTTTTTATATCAGATCAGATATCATGAAGTTAAAAAAAGATTTACAAGAAAAGTTTCTAAGTGAAATTTCGAAATTATATAAATTTGGAAATGATTTTAATGTAAATATATTTGTGGGAGTTGAACCTAATATTAAAGTGTTTAAAGCACATTCATTAGTTTTACGAGCAAGGTCATCCTATTTTCGTGCAGCACTATCAAAAAATTGATAATTGTTATACCTTGAAAAAACCAAATATCTCTCCAGATATATTTGAACCAATTTTAAAGTAATTATAAAATATCTCATGTTTATTATATATATTTGATATATATCATTTATATACATAAATCTCTTTTTTTTTTTTTTTTTTTGCTAGATACATTTATACAGGAGAAATTTATTTGTACGGAATTGAAGAATTAATTGATCTCCTTTTGGCATCTGATGAATTAGCTCTCATCGAACTTGTAGAATATATTCAATTTCGTGTTACTTGTATGGGTAAAGTATGGATGAAACAACACATTGTCCAATTGTTTAATTTTATGTCAAATCACGATGACAATGCGTTCAAAATCCTTCTAAAATATTTGATGAATGACATAATCGCTCATGAAACGAAATTACTCTTTGAATCAGAAGATCTTAAAAATCTTGAAGAAGAAATTCTTTTAAGAATTTTAAAACAAGATCACGTTCAACTTGAAGAAATTGAAATCTGGGAATATTGCCTTAAATGGGGTATTTCACAATTACCTTATCTTGAAGATGATGATTCTAAATGGAGTTTGGATGATTTTATGGATTTAGAAAAAATCCTTCATCGTTGTATTCCATTAATTCGATTTTTTAATATGAAACCTTGTGATTATTTTAATAAGATTCAACCTTATGAAAAGTTACTTCCTAAAGAACTTTTAGAAGATCTTAAATTATATTATATGAATTCAAATAATGTTAAACCTCAAACATCTATCATTTTATCACCTCGGAAACATTTAATTTCAAGTTCATATATCTTAGAATCAATGCACGCCACTCTAATTTCGGGATGGATAGATCGTAAAAAAGATTTCATTACCGAATCATTAACAAATGCTTATAAATTTGAATTACTTTTACGTGGATCAGAAGATGGATTTGGACCGGCAGAATTTCAAAAAAAATGTTTTTATCAAGGTCGAACGGTTATTGTTATTAAAGTAGCTAATACCAATCAAATAATTGGAGGATATAATCCCATGGAATGGGGAGGATCAAAATTCTATAAATATACCGAAGATAGTTTTATATTTTCAATTCCTGAAGAAATTAAAGAATCTAAAATTAGTAGACCTTGTTATAAAGAACGCGCTATCAATGATGATTGGGGTTGGAAGATTGGTTTTGGAAAAGGTATATTTTAATTATTATTTAATATAATTTAATATAATTTAATTTTATTTATTTATTATTTAATAGGAGATTTGCAAATATTTCTAAGAGAATGTCAACAGAAAGATTATGATTTTAGTATATTTCAAGGTGAATTTGAAATTGAAGAATATGAAGTGTTAAAATTGGTGACAAGTGACGAAAAAATAAATAAAAATTATAAAAAATTGGAATGATAATAAACAACTTATTTTTACATAAATGAAAGAATGAAAAATAGAGAAGTGACTTCTAAAGTTATATCATCATATTTTCATTGATTCATTGATTCATTGATGTTCTGTTATTAGTCAATTAAATAACAGCACAATTAAATATGACAAACCAAACGTGACAAAAGTCCGGGAATTAAATACAAATAATAAAGTTTTATCATAGTTAAATACAAATTATCACAGATACAGTTAATTTTATTAACCTGATATATCATATTTTATCTCTAATATATCACGGGCACGGATAACTCCATCATCATATATATATATATATATAAACGTCATTGCTTTTCTTTTTTCTTTTTTTATTCCTTTTATCTCGCGATAAGTTTTAATTTTTTTTTTTCTTATTTTTAAATTTTATCAGCTTTTATATATATTTTTTAATATTTTTTATTATACTTTTTTTTTCCATGACCGAAGAACCTTTTCTTAGTACCAGTAACAGTAACAATAACAGTAACAGCAACAGTAATAATAATAATAATAACAACAATAACAATAACAATAATAATATAACCTATTCCGGTATAAGAACCGCCAGGAGATCAGATATATGTCCAAAATTTATTCGACAACAAGCTAATGAAAGATATGCTTCAATTCGTGAATCAATGTTTCCATTAGAAGAAGCAGCCAAACAAATTGTTTACATTGATACATTAATTAATATTCTTTCTGAACAAGGATTTGAATTTAAGCAAAATATTGATGGAAATCATCATTTAATTGATAAAATCGAAAGAAAAGAATTTGAAATTTGTTTTTTGGATAATGATAGCGATAGTAGTGATGATGAAGATGATGATAAAGATGATAAAGATGATAGAGATGATATAGATGATAGAGATAATGATAAAGATAATAGTGAAGGAGAAAAAGATGATAATAATTATAGTGATAATGATAATGGTAATTATAATTATTATAATGGTGATGATGATGATGATGATGATGATGATGATGATGATGATGATGATGATGATGATGATGATGATGATGATAAAGTTGTAAAAGCAAAATATCAGGAAAAAGAGAAAAAAATGATTCGAAAACGACAATATACGGAAAGTGAAGAGGAGGAAGAAGAAGAAGAAGAAGAAGAAGAAGATGATGATGATGATGATGAAAATGAAGGAGAAGATGATAATGTTGTTGTAAGGAGAAAAAGAATGAAAGAGAAATTAATTGAAAAGAAAAAGAATAAATTGAATGATAATACAATGGAGAATAAGAATATTTCGAATCAAAGAAAAAGAATTTTAAAATTTAATCACCAAAAATGTTGTGATAATGATAAATATTCATCCTCTTCATATCCTTCATATCCTTCATATCCTTCACATCCTTCACATCCTTCACAACAATTATCATCACATTCAAATTCAAATTCACATCCACGTCAATCATTTTCATATAAATCTTCTTTACCTAGGAAAGAAAGAAAAGATAATAAAAAAGTAACTAGTTTACCTTCACCTCATTTATTACCACCATTTAAGTTACCTGTTGTTGTTGTTCCCCCTATTTCCGAAGAAAAAAAAGGAGAATATTTTCGATTTTGATAATGATAATTGATGATAGATAATTATTATTATTATTGAAAAGGATAATCTGAACCAGAAGAAAAGTAAGTAAAAATATTCCGATAAATGAATTTTAAAGTTATTCGAATTATTGGTTTGACTTTTTTTTTTTTTTTTTCATTATAATTTAATTATGTTGTAATTAATTTGATCTATTTTTAACATTTATACAAATTTCTTTATATAGAATTTTTTTAAATGATTAAATATAATTACATATATAATCTTAACATGTAATTTTTACATATTTGTTTGGTTAAACCAAAAAAAAATTTTATGTATTTTTATGTATTTGATTTTTTTTTTCTTTATCTTTCATTTTTCTTTTCTCATCATTTTAACATTTTTAACGAACAGCAATAATTTTATTTTTAGTAATTTTGAATTATAATAAATTTTTAATAAATTTTTAGTAAATAATTTTCAATAAATTTAGTTAGTGATACTATATAATAAAAAATAATTTAAATTATCATTGTTTTAAAATATAAATATTTGCACCAATGAGAATTACATTTCTCATTTTAACGATAAAAATATTTGAACATATGAATATATGAAAATTTTCCGAGATCAAGTATCAAGGAATATTATTTTTTATAAAAAAAAAAAATTTTTTTTTGTATTTATTTATGTTTATGTTGTATATACATAATAGACAAATAATAATCAGACGCACAAATATTTAGATTTTACAAAAAGTTCATAATCACGTTTGTGAAACTATTATCCTTTTCCTTTATAAATAACTTTATTTTTCTAATCTAAAAAATTAAGGATCAAAATAAAACAGAATGATATACATTTTTATTTTATCTGTGAAACAATTGACATCATAATAATAATAATACTAATACTAATAATAATCCTTGTTTTTAATTATAATTAAAATAATTAAAATAATTAAAATGAACTTTAAATGAAATTGATGAAATTAATCAAATTATTTTTATTTATTTTTATTCCTTTCTAGCATACATTTTCATTAAATATAGAATTACGAAATATTATGAATATCGTTACGTGCTTTAGATATAAATATAGAAATACTTTTTTATATTTTAAATTTAAATTTTTTTAATTTTAAAAATTTTTAAGAACGAAACGAAAAAAAAAAAAAAAAAAAAATTTTTTTTTTTTACGTATCACTTATTATTTATCTGTTGTTCATTCAATTCGATTAGTTGACCAAGTTTACAATAAAAAATAGCATTGTTAAAGTAATTTTTTTTTAATCCATTCAATTGATTGGTTCATTTTAATCGTGAAATAAATATTTACCAAAAATAGTTAAAACATAATTAGTTGGATTAACAAGTCAAGTTGTTTGATTACAAGTTTTGGTATAACATTTTCAAATTGTAATATAAAAATCAAACGTTCTCTAAACCCGGAAAAAAAAATTTTTTCCACAAATCTTTTTTTATGTCTTTCGATTGCTCTCTTTGTTCGTTATTATTAAAAAAGTATTTCTAAAATTGAAATATTTTTTTTACCTTTCTTTATTAAATTTTGTCAGTCTCTTCTATTACAAATAATAATTATTATTACATTCATTATTGTATGTATAAGATTATTTTTTTTTTTAATATATTTTTTATCAGTTATGATTTCATTATATTATCTGTTATAAATTATTAAAAATTTTCAGTTATAATCAATTATTAAATTATTATTAATTATATCTTTTTTTTAAAAGAATAATGGAAAGGCATAATGGATTGGCAATAATATTTTATCCAACAATACCTTCTCGTAAACGGACACAATTTCAAACGTGGTCCACGCAATATGAAATGAAAAGGCATCATTATTTAAGTAGTGATTATTCTACTTTAAATACTATTGATCCAAATTTACGTAATAATAATAATAATAATAATAATAATAATAGCAGCAGCAGTAGTAGTAATAATAGAAATAATAGAAATAGTATTAATAATAATAACGATAATAATAACAACAACAACAACAATAATAATCATAATAATAATAATAACAATAATAAGATTTCTATTATTACAAGTTCAACTTCGAAAAATATCAACAACAGCACATTTTCATCCGTGTCTCATGATGATCAACAATTAGGTTTAGTGAAAGAAGGAATTAATGGATTTAGTAAATTTCCTCATGAAATTATGTTGAATATTATGGAATATTTAAATCCTACTGATATCATTTCACTTGCTATGGTATTTATTATTATTAATTATTATTTATTATTATTAATTATCATCATTATTTATTATTAATTATCATTATTATTAATTATCATTATTATTAATTATCATTATTATTAATTATTAACATTATTCATATCAATTATTAGGTCAATAAAAAATTTAGATCTCACACATCAGATAATTTTTTATGGCGACAAATATTAATTAGGGAATATGGTGAAAGGGCTATTCAGGAAGAACCAAGACAAGTGATTACAAAAGGAAAATGGAAAAAAACTAAAGTAAAGAAAAAACAGACCATAACTGAACCTAATTGGAAAAAAGTCTTTATTCGATTATGTAAGCGAATAATAACAATACTTTAATAATTTACATTTTATATTTACATTTATATTTACAATGACACTAACATTTACATTACATTTAGCCACGGTAAAAGTGTCTACCAAGACTGCTATTTTTAGAGGTTATCCTGGTGCCTTTTATAAATATCGATATTTTGATTGTAAAGTCAATGATGCAAGGGAATTGGAATTTAGGTAAAAATATTTTTTTTTTGTTAAATAAATAAATAATAATAATAAATAAGAATATATAATAAATAAGAATAAATAATAATATAAATAATAATAATAATATAATAATAATAATAATAATAATAATAATAATAATAATAATAATAATAATAATAATAATAATAATAATAATATAATAATAATAATAATAATAATAATAATAATAATAATATAATAATAATAATAATAAAATAATAATAATAATCATCATCTCACCTCGAAAAATCAGGAATAACAATCGGATTCGACAAAATCAACGAGCATACGATGTAATTATTTTTTTTTATCTTTAATAATATTTATATGTTTCTGAATCTAAACATTACCTCTCGGTCACATGTTCAATATAGATCGAGATGACTATAAGCAGTGTCCCTCCTGGAGATTATGACATCTTATGGCGTATGAGGATTGAAAAATCTTCATGTAAACCGATTGTTACTTTTTCAACTGATATTTGGCTGCGCGTATGTATTATTATTCATTAATTATTAATCATTACTCATTATTATCATTATACGTTATTTTAAAATAATAATAATAATAATAATAATAATAATAATAGCATGACATATACCTAAACTCATATGAAAGAGAAGTAAGATTCCAATACTCTCCTAATCCTGATGATTTTTCTCGCGTAATTGACAAAGGATGGTTCAATATCTGTTTACCATTTAAAGTTGTGATATCAAAGAAGGAGCAATATGAAGATTATAGATATCAAGTACATACTGGAATTAATTGTCATTTGGAAAGTGATGATTATTTTGGTTCTAGGAAGAAAAATTTAAAAGGTCCTTTCGTAAGTATTTTTTTGATTTTTTCTTTAATTTATTTTATTTTCGATTTAATAATTATTATATTATTAAATATATTGTTATATTATTAATATATTTTTATTAATATATTATTAATTATATTTTTTATGATTATATTATTAATTATAGTCAGTTGATAGTGTATGCCTTAGACCACACATATCATACGATTTAATTCAAAATTCCGCAGCAGATGAAATTTATTTGACAGCTTCAGATAATCATAATAATGATATTTTACCTGATGAAAATAGAAATGATTCTGTATATAATGATAATTATTTAAATACACTAAGCAGCATTTGTGGAAATTATTATACTAATAGAAGAAATGATGATGAGAGAAATGATGGGAGAAATTATGATGGGAGAAATGAGAATAAAAAAGAAAGAAGAAGGAAGACGATTTCAAAAGTTATTTCGTGTAGTTCAAACTATTTGAGTGAATGAATTGAATTTTTTGAAAAGAAAAAAAAAACGTTTATAGAACAGAACAGAACAGAACATTATAACATGTAAATTAAAATTAAAAAAATTTTTATTTTATTTTTAAGCTTAAAAATTTTTTAAGATTATAAAAAAAAAAACCACTTATTATTAAAAATTTTATTTGTAAAATAAGTTATAGATAAGGAAAATTATGTTTTAGGTTAAAAATTAAATTATTAAATTATTTTAAATTAAATTAATTAAAATTAAATTAAATTAAATTAAATTATTTTTTTTTAAAAAGAATAAGTGATTATTTGATGGATTGATGGATGGATTTGTTTGTTGACTTATTTTTCTCCATCATAAAAAAAGTGACTAAAATACTAATTAAACATCCTATAGAACTAATATAAAATACTGAGGAATAACATTCAGCCCCACTGCAATGATCTCTATGTAAATCACTATTATATCCAAATAAGAGATTAAACATTTGTCCACCTACAGCTGGAAACTAAATATGAAGGAATAAATAATGAATAATAATAAATAATAAATAATAAATAATAAATGATGCATAATAAATGGCGTACAATAAATAATAAATAAATATTTTTTTTTAACTTACGCAAGCCAAAAGTCCCCAATTTAATCCAAACCTTTTTGAACCAAATAATTCTCCTGCTATTGTGGGAGCGGTTCCATATTGAATTCCATATCCAAACCCCACGAAACATGTGACCATCCATAATTTATCAACTTGTTGGATCCAAAAAAGTATTAACATTTGACCTATTAATAACCATAAAGCGGCAAGTCCCAAAAATGAAATTCGAGGTATACCATAAAGGTATTTGGCTAAATCCGATAAAAATCCTCCACTAATTCTACCAAGAAATGAAAATATTGAAAGTAAGGAAACGTGAAGATTTTGAAGTCTCTGAATTTCACTACTATCATTATTATTATTATTACTTGAACTTAAATCTTTAAATGAAGGATGAATAGGATGAAAAGGACGAGAAAGATGAGAAGGATGAAAAGGATGGGAAGAATGAGAAGGTTGGGTGGATGGTGCGTAATAAAGAGATTTAATTATAGCTCCAACATTATTTATATACATTAATCCAACTCCACCAATAAAGATCATTATTAATACTAAACGAATTGCATCTTTGTTATGTACTAATTCCCATCCTCCTATATCTAACTCATCATTCTCACCATCAATATCACTCTCTATACGTTGTTCGTTTTTACATTGTTTTTGTTGTAACAGAAGAGGTGTTTGTTCTGTAAATAAATTTGAATTATTATTATCTTCGATTTTAACAATTTTATCGATTCTATAGATTTTATCAATTTTATCAATTTTATCAATTTTATCAAATTTATCAATTTTATCAATTTTATCAATTTCATTAATTTTATCAATTTCATCAATTTTATCAATTTTATCTTGATGATGACTATTTGAAATTCCCTCCTCGAGTTCATTGATGCTTTCAACAACAGCAGTGGTGGTGGTAGGAAGAGGAGGAGGCACAACTACTATAAACCAACTACCAATGAATAAGCAAAGTCCTGCTGAGGTAGAAATAAAAAGTATAAAATGAAAAGTATCATTTTGGAAGAAATGCATATTGATTTGAGAATACATAAAAGCGGAAAGACCGAAAAGTGCTATTGGAACACTTAACGCGGTTCCTCGTAACGATGTAAAATTTTTTGTCTACCAATGAATGTGTCGTCAATTCACGTGATAGAATATACAGTTTAATGAATGGTATTTATTTAATATATACTTACAATTGTTACCATGCTAGAGACCAAACCTATTTAAGCGAAAATAAATCGAGTTTTTTTTTTCCAGCAAATAAAAGTTTTAGTTTATAACTTTGATTTAAAAAAAAAAAAAATTTTTTTTTGAATAAATTTTCGGGATTATAAGTACCTCCGGATGAAGCAATTCCGGCGCAAAATAAATATAATGAACAGAGCATGAATGAAGTGGACGGAATAATTTGTTGATACGTTAATGCAAGACATAAATAACTTATGAATATTAATAATGATGCGGCAAAACATGTTCTAATTTTATGATCGAAAAAAAGAAGAAAAAGCAAAACGTGTTAAAAAAAAAATTCCCCCCCAAAAAAAATCCAAAAATTTACACGATGATCAATTCATATAAACCTTTGAGATCCATGATTATCAGAGATATAACCGAAGAAAGGTTTACTAAGAAAAACACCGTAATTTGCAAAACTTCCTATAGTATTAATTTGTACAGAAGTGAAACCCAATCGATCTTGTAACGCTGTACTATATGCGGAAAAAAGGTATTGAGTACCACATACTGATGTTATTAAAAGTGTGGAGAGGTAGGAAAGAGTTAATTTTGTAACTCTAGACGACATGATTTTATTGGAGAGAAAAGTTTTTTTTAGGGAAATTCGAAAAACAAATAAAATTCTCTCTCTCTATGATATATTTATTTATATATTTTATTATAACTTTTTAAATCTTAAACTTTAAACGTGTAAAAAAAAATTTTTTTAAGTTTGTAAAAAATGAATCAAATTAATTAAATTAATTATTGCCTGCTTGGTTTCTTTGCAAGTGAGAAAAAAAAAAAAACTAAAAAAAATTGAGAATCGAAAAAAAAAAGATGAAGGGGGGTTTTTGTAAATCTCGTAGATATGTTAATAACAACCTGTGACTTTAATTACTTCCTATATATTGTGATGTGGCAAAAGAAACAAGATTACTGAATAGGAGACAACAATCAAATCAAAAGAAAAAAAAAAAAAAAAATTCGTAATCTATAAATATATAAAAAAATGTATGCCAGTCAAATAACAATTTAATCAATTTTAATCATGAGTATGGAGAGTATGGATCACAATGATCAGAAGACCAATTTTCCTTATTCTTTTACGAATAAAATTCTCGGAATTAGATCTTGTGTTCAGTCATATTTCGCCACCTTGCACTTGTCAGTTATATTGTTTTAAATTGTTTTATTATTATTATTACATTATATATTTATCCAATTTACGTATGTGAATCAAGGGGAAAAAAAATGAAACCTATAATTAAATAATTTTTTTAATAACGATCGTAATAAACATTCATTAATCAAATGACCAAGAGAGATTAAAATGCCAAGATATTAAAATGTAAAATAATTGGGAAAAGATTAACAAAAAATAAATAAATAAATAATAATTTTCGAAATTTACTAAATTTAATAACTGATGAGGTATTCATTGTAACTTTATATATCGAAATGGTATAAAAAATCAATTAGTTTGTATTTAATAATAATAACCAATAATAATAATAATAATAATAATAATTAATATTAGTAAATATTGCTACTTAATTAACTATATTAATCCATTTAAAAATTCGTTTACTATATATAATCTTATAGAGGTTGAATCTCGTTATTTTAAATAAATATTTTTCATCTTTCTCCATGTGCTTTTTGTTTTCGTATAAGTTTTGAATTTCCTAAATTATGCATGACAGCACCAACCATTTTGATTTTTATTATTAATTTCCCAAATCGAGTTCAACGGAAATATGCAATCAAGAGGAAAACGGAGATACCCGTATAAAATCCGAAACATAACAATAGGTCATATCAAAAATTGATTGTCAAGTATTTCATAAATTTAAATTTAGAGTTGGTAATTGAAAATTTTTATTTTAAAAAACATTTAGGCATACAAAATATACTTTTATTTTGACAAATAGCACTAATAGCACTAATAAAGTAGTGATGTCAAAAATTTTTAAATATGTCTTTCTAAATATCTTTTTTTTTTAGTTTTAAAATGGCACTTTTGCTAATAATTTGCTTATTCATAAATGGATGAAACAATTCAAAAACAACTCTAAGAAATATTTTATCATTAAATTTTATTGAATTATACATACTAAAATTCAATAGATATTTATTTAAAATTTATATAAATATAGATTTTCAAAAATATATTTAGTATTTAAACTTTTGACATATACATATATTTAGACTTTTGACATTTATTTCATTTATTTAGACTTTTAACATTTAGAAATATTGACATATTTACTGTCTAAATGTCGAATGTCAGAAAACGATATCCACAACCCCAGAATCCAATGTATTGTAACTGTACTACAAAAATAATCTCTTCTGATTATATTTTTTTTAAAATAAATCTTTCAGCATGACTTATCTATATATTGTTTCTTCTTTCGAAACTTTAATCTTAAATAAAATACTTTTTAGATCATCTTTTTTTAAATAAATGTCGTGTGACTGATAAATATGAAAATATTACTCAGTTTGGTTTTTTAACTTTAAGATAGATGTTTTTTAATAATAAAATTTCTTTAATTGGATTGGAAAAACTCGTATTTTAAAAATAAATAATTAATTAATCTAGAATTCATTTATCAAGTTACATCACGCGTGCGTCTTCTTAACCTATCTTCTTTCAAGGTAGCAGCCATACCAGAACCATGCTCAATTTACCCATTTCTAAAACCTTTTCTTTCTTCTATTCTCTTCTCTTTAAAGTTTAGGTCAGAACTTGTAAATTTTTTTCAAAATAATCAGGTTCACGTTCCATCTTTTTTTTTTTTGGTTTCTTCTTTGTTAATTCTCAAGATGATGGATTACGTCCTAACAATGAAAAATTGATAAGTGTAAATCACATTACATGTCCAAATTCCTTTTTTCATTTGATTTAAAATCACATGAACACCATTAACTAATTTACATTCATTAATTGAACAAATAAATATTTAACCATAAAAGTAATTTATCAAAGAATTAATAAATAAAAAATTTTTTTTATAAAATAAGAAATATAAAAAAAATTTTTTTGATAGGTTATTATTTAATGCATTGGGTAAATTTATTTGTTGTTATTTATAGTATTGTTGTTGTTTATGGCATTGTTATTATTTATTGATGAACTCTCCATGCATTGAGTTTGGTCTCATGACCCAATAAGAAAAATGTTGGGGCAAAAAAAGGACACTTACAACCTAGATTTTTTAAATCGGGCATTGCATAGGTACGTAAATGTAATTTTTATTATTTTTGTAGTCATTATATCCGAGATACGATGATAAAATATAATGCAATGTAATAAAATGTAATAAAATGTACTTCTTACTAATAAAAAATTATCTGTAAGTACCAGTACCTTCATAATAATTACCAAATTTGATATCATTGTATGTTTATTAGTATTTGACAAATAAAAAAAATCTATTGTAATTTTTATATAGTTGCATTTCTGGATAAAGAAGTTATGACTATAAAGAGGAATTTAGAAGTTGTAATTATAAAACGTATAACCAATACAATAAAGTAATCATCACGAGTCAATTGAAATCAGAGAAACAACAAAAAAAAATAATACTTTAAAATATATTTATTGAAAAATAATAACTTGTATCTATCATCATAATCAATTATGAATTTCTTAAAATTTAAATAACAAATATTATGTACAAAAAATAAAGTTTTTTTTTTTTCTTTATCACTTCAAAAAAAAAAAATAACTTATATAAAATATAACATATATATAATATATTTCCTTCCCATCATAATAACTTAATATGCTTTCAACTTTATAATACTTAATATTTTTTTAATTTTAAAAATTATGTGTTTAAAACTTCAAAATTTATTTCAACAAAACCGAAAATATTTCTTATTTTACTCTACTCTAAGTTTTTTATGTTTATTATTATTTTTTTCTATAAAATTAGTGAATTCTTCAGTTTTATTGAGTATATCCCAAAAATTTGTTAATTGATGACTAAATTCGGGAGTTCCGAGTCTCCACATATTTATATCTCTTCTATAATTAGCTACGGTGTTTATCCAAGGTAACATAATAAATTTATTATCAGATTCTTGATCACGTTTTCGTTTTCTATTATTATTATTTTCATCATTATCATCATCATCATCATCACCATCATCATCACCATCATCATCACCATCATCATCACCATCATCATCACCATCATCATCACCATCATCATCACCATCA